CTGGCCTCCGGTCCGCCCATGATGCCGACATCCGAACGCGCCTCCTATCCAAGCTGCAGCAAGACAGCATGATCACACTCCACAGTCTGGCCGAGGAGTGTCAATCGCTGATCAATCTGAAACACGATTCCGCGATGATCCAGAACGCTTCCGCGCTTGGTCTGGTCCAGGTGGTCGCGGCCCCCAAGCCGCAACCTTCTGAGCGACTCTCCCAACTCAACCGAGCGAAGTCCCCACCCTATCCGTGTCGATTCTGTGGTGCAGGCCATTTCCACCGAGATCGCAACTTCCGACAGCATCGATGCCAACGTTGTGGCAGGGTGGGGCACCGTGATGGATACTGCTATCCTACGTCGCACAAGGGGGCCAAACCTGGGCTGGCCCCCACCCGCAGACCCGCACAACCCAAGGGGACCAAACCCGGCCTGGCCCGACCCACAGTCAAAAGAGGAGGTCACGATCCAGACGCAAACCCAACACTGGCCCGGTTGGCAGCTCCATGAGCTTGCTGGCCACAATCCAAGTCAATGCGGACGGCAGGAAGTTCGTCGACGTCCAAATTAATGGCCAGACCGTCCGTTTGCAGTTGGACACTGCTTCGGACATCACGATCATCTCCGAGAAACTCTGGCGATCACTTGGTAGTCCACCAGTCCAGCCAACCCTTCAATCCGCCATCAGCGCCTGTGGTGGCCACGTGCAGCTAACTGGGCAGCTGCATTGTTCCGTCTACTTTCGAGGTATCATATTCGACGGGATCTACTACATCGCCAAGGCAAACCTCAATCTACTTGGTCTCGATTGGCTCGAACAGCTTGGCATGGCAGATCTACTTCTCCGAACCATCTGCAGCGCGGTACAATCTCTGGCCGTACCAACTGACGAAACCGATGACCTCACCCGACAGTTCGCCTCAGTGTTCCAAGATGGGCTTGGCCGCTGTTCACGCACCCGCGCCGTGTTACAGCTCGCTCCCGGAGCTCAACCGGCATTCCGTCCTAAATGGCCGGTCCCATACGCAGCCTTACCATTGGTCGATGCCGAACTTAAAAGACTGGAATATATGGGTGTCCTGGTACCGGTGTCCTACTCTGTTTGGGCAGCTCCAATTGTTGTTGTCAAGATACCAAATGGATCCCTCGCATCTTTGCCGATTCTCCACGGGCCTCAATGCCGCCCTATAACCGAACTGCTACCCATTACCATCATCAAACGACCTCTTTACCATACTCAATGGCGGGACGTGTTTTGCCAAAATCGACCTGGCAGACGCATACTTACAAATCGAGGTGGCTCCGGAGTCGCAACCGCTTTTGACGATCAACACACACCGCGGTCTCCTTCAGTACACCAGACTGCCGTTTAGTGTCAAGACCGCACCAGCCCTATTCCAGCAGACAATGGATGCAACGATCGCTGGCATTCCAGGTACGGCCGCATACCTGGATGATCTCCTTATTGTTGGTCGCAACCCAGAAGAATTGCGAGAACGTCTGGTCTCGGTCTTTAAACGGATCCAGGAATATGGTTTCCGCCTGAGGGCCGATAAATGCCAATCTTTTCCTACGGTCAATCAAGTATCTCGGCTTTGTTTTCGATGCTAATGGCCGTCACCCCGACCCCGGAAACGTCGAAGCCACTCACCAGATGCCACCTCCCAACGATATTCATCAACTGCGGTCCTTCCTTGGTCTCATCACTTACTACAATGCTTTCTTACCATCACTACACGATGTACGGGCCCCTCTGAATCAACTGTTGCAAAAGGATGTTCCTTGGCACTGGTCCCCCGCATGCGAGAAGGCCTTCGCGCGCCTGAAAACTATGCTCAGTTCTGATCTGCTGCTGACACATTACGATCCAGCCTTACCCATCCTAGTCGCCGCCGATGCCTCCAATTACGGAATCGGAGCGGTCCTCTCCCATCGCTTCCCCGATGGTTCCGAGAAAGCGGTCATGCATGCCTCCCGAACGCTGACGTCCGCAGAGAAGAACTACGGTCAGATCCAGAAAGAAGCTTTGGCTATCGTCTTTGCTGTTAAAAAGTTCCACAAAATGCTGTATGGTCTACATTTCACCTTATTGACCGACCACAAGCCGTTGTTGTCCATCTTTGGCTCCAAGAAGGGTATTCCAATGTATTCAGCCAGTCGACTTCAACGATGGGCCGTCATCCTTCTCGGTTACGATTTCGAAATCCGTTTTTGCCGCACGCAGAAATTTGGTCAAGCTGACGGTCTCTCACGCCTCATCCCCAAACATACGGTAAATGAAGATATCGTGATCGCCGCTGTCGCCGTCGAAGAAGATGTTCGTCATCAGCTTTCAGACACTATCCTCAGCCTTCCTCTTACAGCCGCCGACATACGTCGCGAAACTGCACACGATACTGTCCTCCGTCAAACTATCGCTTACGTTCAGACACGTTGGCCTAACATTACCTTCTCAGGAGAACTCAAGCACTTATTCCAGCGTCGGGACTCCCTCTCTGTCGTTCACTCCTGCCTTATGACCGCTGGTCGAGTCATCGTTCCTGTCCAACTTCGACAAGCCGTGCTCCGTCAGTTCCATCCTGCACACCCTGGTATCAGCAGAATGAAGGCAATCGCTCGCAGTTTCGTCTATTGGCCTGGGATAGACAGCGACATTGAAGATTTAGTTCGCCGTTGCTCCAGGTGTCAACAAGCAGCCAAGATGCCACAGCACCAACCACTAGTCCCCTGGCAACCAACAGAGAAACCGTGGTCTCGAATACATATCGATTATGCTGGTCCAATTAATGGTACCTCATATCTGGTCCTGGTTGATGCGTACTCTAAATGGTCTGAAGTCGTAACAATTAATTCTCCGACTACCACCGCAACAATAACTTGTCTCCAACGCATATTCGGTCAACATGGATTCCCTGATGTTCTAGTGTCCGACAACGGAACGCAGTTCACGTCATCCCAATTTAAGGATTTTTGTCGCTCTCACTGCGTGCAGCACCTCCGATCACCACCTTATCATCCACGGTCTAACGGTTCAGCAGAACGTTTTGTCGACACTTTCAAGCGAGCGCTCTTAAAGGCTCGAGGGGAGGGGACTACAGAAACAATTATTCAGGCTTTCCTGTTCGTCTACAGGACCACACCTAATCCGGCAGTTCCAGGAGGGAAATCACCCGCCGAAGCACTGATGGGTCGGAAACTGCGCACAACACACGACGTACTAATCCCAATTAAAGTGCCACCGGTGAAGTCCAAAATCAAAACCAAGTGCAAGGGATTCGCTGTTGGAGCTCCGGTTTTTGCCCGTGACTACCGGGCTGGTCACCCACAATGGATCAAAGCTACAGTAACGGGCCATCGTGGTAGTATGCTATATGATATCGTTGTAGGAGATGACACCTGGGTTCGTCATCAAAACCAACTTCGACCGCGACATGGAACACTCAAAAACCATCTCAGTCGACCGCAAAAACACCCCTGCACATACTATTGGATACTTTCGGAATTCCAGAGCAACAGACGGAAACTGTGGAACTCGCACCACCGATTCCTCCTCGCAGATCACAACGCATCCGCCGAACAACCGAAAAAATACAGATCGACACGAAACTCAAACGGTATGTTCAAACTTAAAGGGGGGATTTTATGGGGACCCAACGTCCCTATAATTATTACAGGTTTAAATTACGGAAGGCTGAAAACTCGACTCATACAAGTGCACATGTACTCAGAGCAGACAAAACTCACACGTTCAATCAGTCTTCCAACTCGTGTAACATGCACATTGTTTAGCCTTTGCACCCAGAAACAGTCTTGTTTCCAACCAAACACGCATTGTTGTATCCAAGCAACATTCATTTTTCCGGGCAACTCTCGCCAAACTTCCAACATTTCTGCTCAGTTTACGGACTTTGCACATTTACATAAAACCATGTTTCTTGTTTCCAGGGTTTGCTTACGCAAACCCTTCCAAGGAAAAACCCCCCTTCATCACCGTTTTGTGATATAAAAATGAGGCTGTACAACGCTAGAATCGCCTTAGCTTTGGCCAGTAAAAGCGCCTGTGGCAAAGGCCTGTCTTGTTCTTGCTTCAGTCTTGGGTTGGGAAATCGTGCGTAGAACTTTGCGTTCGGTCTAGGAACCCGTTCGACTCGCGTGAATTAATCTTTCGCGGCTAAGTTCCGAGAACCCACAGGCTTCGAGATTGTCAGTTACCGTGCTGTGCGAGAAAATAATTCTGAGTCTCGTTCGTTCATCCGACTAGGAGAGTTGGTATCACATTGTTAGAACCTGACGTATTCAAGAGGCAGTATTCAACAAGTGTGCTTGTCAAAAAGTAACTTTGAATGCTTAGGAGGCTTACAGCATTTGATGCTGGTAAGCGTTCATTATTCGACCACTTAGTACTTCTTAGTGGGTACACCACCAATTTACTTGGGCCCACGGGACTGTGCAAAAATTGGTTGCCAGATCTCGTGAGCCAAAAATAGCATGAATCGGTGACAAATGCGCCCTCATTTGTATAGATAATCATTCCATCCCTATCGCCAGAAACTGATGTGTCGGTGCTGATTGTTCACGCCCCCACGACCGCAAGACGAACACAACGATGAGCCAGGACCGAGTTGTATGCATGAGAACACTGCTTTCTTATATAGGGTACAGTAGGAGGGTGAAGCAAAGCTACTAAAGCACGTTGGCGCCAACGAACATTACAGGAAACTACGAATACTACGAGTGAATGAGAAGTGGCTAAAGAAAGAATCAATCGTATGGATCCGAGGAAACGTCATTGGCGGAAATAGACCCCTGAGATAGCGTCAGTTATGAACGACCTAGGCCAGCCAATCGAGGCAAAGGAATAATGTGTTTAAACAAATATCAAGAAACAAACGATTGCGAAACGAAAGCAGGTGAGTGAGAATTGTAGCAAAAAATATATGTCCATTGAGCGTCCCCCTAACAATTGTGGGTTCAGAGTGGTGTAAAATCCAAGGGGAAAGGGCTTACTTGAATTCGTGTGGAGTGTTAAACAGATATCCATGGCCCTCAATATTGTTGCCTCCACCTTGACAGCCACTAGCTTCCGTACCCGTTCGATGGTTGGGCGGACTACTGATAAAGCAGAATGAAAAAATGAATATTGGCGATGATAAAACGAGAGACCTGCTGTTTGTCAGCCAGTCAACCAAATAGAACGTACTACTGTCTGTGTTGGACAACGGACACCTAAACCATAGGAAAATGCAATCAAATCACTCAGTAAAACCTGTTGGTAAACCACTTCCAAAGTGCTGTGAGGGAGCATACCTGGATGAGGTGTTAAGCAATATTCACTAACCTTAAACGCGGAATAGCACAAGACACATAACCAGGACCAAGGTATTATCATACTGTCTCACTTATTAGCTAGTAACAAAAGGTTGATGCAACTTCGATTTGCGATAGATGTCAATATGAGGAACAGTTACGCAACAGCACTGTTTATAAGGGCACTTTCGGGTAGACGGCAACTAAGGCAGCGTGATTTGTTTTACGGATTCAAATAAGTCAATACCAATTGTGAAGAAACAATAAGCATGAAGCATCTATGATGTCCGGCAGTAGCCCATAAAGTTGCACTTTAAAAGTCGTGGAGGATGTTTAGAAAGAGACTGTGGCGCACAGCCAAAATACCGTCGAATTGTCTCGGTCCTGTCAAGCAGTGGGATGATTAAGATGTAGAACCGAGTGACGAATAGAGCCAGCGTATATTTTGTTGACTAAGTGTTAAGCGCAGATGTGTGTCGTCAGATTGAAAAGCAAAAACTACTCTACTCGCGGCGACGTTTCCGGATTAGGAGGTCAGAGCATTTAAAACATATGTATGCTGAACCTGTGAGACCCAATGCATAAATTGCTTTTGTGGTCAACGGTGTTACACACCTTCGTGGAATAATCTACGTGGTTTTCTGTATCGCGAACAAACTGCTTGAACCCACTTCGATAGCGAGAACAAGGATAAAAACAGAAATACATCTGACGGAATATGGTGGTATTTTCACAGGCAATTTGACGAATAAGAGATATTGTACATAATAATGGTAGCCAAATGTCTGCACATCTTGAACTGAAGTCAGTAATATAAATAAATAAATTTATTATCGAAAAGCTGGAGATCCAATGTGATCTAAACTGTTTAACAGATTGAGTTGTACTCAAATGCAAAGTTTTGCATAGCTCTTATCTACATTGTATCAGTGTAGGCTCAATCGATCCTTTCCTCAAAGGGACAGCAAACTTCTAGAGGAGTACTAACTTAAAAAGCGAATCAAGCAATCATATGTGCAGGGAAATGAGCGCCATGATTCCTTACACTGCTGTCGGTGGATTCTAGTCCAGTGGTTCCCAACCTTTGGAGGCTACTACCCATAAAATAAGTTCAAAATAAACAAATAGTCAAAAAATTCAGTTTAAAAAGCAAAGTAGCAGTTAGCTACCGCATTTTTGCTTTAAATTACGGAAAACGAACTCTTTTTGAAAAATTTTACTTGATAAATCAAGAGGAAATGTCGGTCATTCGGACGGTTGATATTGTTTAGTTTTAACAATTTATGGTAGATTTGACGCGGTTTCGATATTTATTGCTTCCCGAACAATGACCAAATTGTCAGTCAATGGCTTCCGGGCAGCACAGTTAGAAGACCAGTGACGTAGAAGTAGAACAGTTAAGATTTCTTAGAGTGCATCCACTCACCGACCATCTATCCAGCCTACTTATTTCTTCGAGCTAACCATGATTCCCCAACTATCACCACCTCCAATCCGACGAGACCGGTGGGGTATAATGTAATTACTTTTCAACGAAATAGTGTAGGTGCGCTAGCTGTTTCGGTGTGTTCCTGATTGAATGTGAATGTACTTGCAAGTACATAGGCCGAACTGAGAGAAGGCTGTCAGCGGGGATTGCAGAGCATGTTCCGCGAAACATGATGGCTAAGGGTCCCAAGCTATCGACCAGCTCTATTGCCAGCCACATACTTGACTGCCTGAATGCCAAAACCTACGTGGTAATTTCAGGGTAGTTAGCAAACAAGGTAATCCCCGCTTACTACAGTTTGGGGAGCCGGCAGCAATTCGTCGGCTGAAGCCAACTCTGTGCAAGTAAACGGATTTCGTGACCACGCTAACCCTACCCTGGTGAGGCTAGTGATTGCGTTTTCATCGGAACGGGTCACATGAGCCTAAGGACCTTCGACCGCTTTGAATTTTTGCTCTTAACATCGCGCTGTTTTCCACTAACTATATGTAAACAGCTGATGAGAATATTCGAAATTGCTGAATTCAGTAAATTATGTTGAAATGTTGTTGCTTCTTGTTTTTTTGAAAGACCTGACGGTTTAACATCTCATTTACAATGAAGGTGTAGGGCTGCAATCAAATACCCAGCCTTAATTTGGTGAATATGTCATTTCGCCCAGCAGCTGTTCTGCCTATCTTCACCATATTTGACCTGTGTGATTCAAATGCTGTCCACGTACAGAGATACAGGAAGAACCGTCACCAATCAGGTAATTAATCGAATCAAGTAAAAAGTTAGGTTGAGTACTTTGTAGCCATTCCGCTGCGATGGATCTCGTTCCGTTCCTTACTTGGGGCTTTGACAACTGGGTTATGTGATTAAGCGGTAGCATGCACTGTGCCACTAGGTGAGAGGGAATGCTTGAAATAGTCTGAGGCGGCATCAAATGAGGTAATCAATTGGCCTCTTATAACGATTTTGACTACCAAGCCAACCTTAGTTCTCTGGGCCTCTGCGGTGTACCCGTCCCGTCGCCTCAAATGGACATATCATTTGTGCGCTCAGGCTCTCTGTGAGAATGCTTTGAGTCCATACACGATGGGATTGATCGCGCCCCCTAGTCACTTCTGTATTGGCCCCATTTTCCAGACATTTCTACCACCTTTCCACGCCACCATGCTTTGTGCTTTGTACCAGTTCGCGAACCAGCACCTAGTCGCACAACCGCTATGCAATGCTCGCGTGTGCAAATGCAGTGCGTAGCTAGACGACCGGAAGGTGTAGGTCAGAATAAGGATGTTTCAACTACCGCCCAATCAAATTGACCACGCGGGTGTCTCCTACCTTGTGTGGGCTTACCTTCGGTGTAACCACTGCTTTCTAAACATATCTCCAAGCGCCGTCGCTCTGCTCCTGCCTGAATTCAGCAGTGCACCGTGCAGTGTGCAATTGTCCGAATGCTATTGGCTGATTTGCCATTGGTCAAAACGAACGGTACACATTTAGGTGCGTGTGCATGAACAGGATACATCTTGGATACGTTATGGACTAAGTTGGGCAGCGTTCTTGAGGAGTATCAATCCGTTAAGGAATAGTTTGACTGCAATATGGATACAAATTGCGGGGCGGTGTAGATGTGCTGAATTTCTACTTATACCATTCGAACTCCCACTACTTTGCGACTCAAATTTCTTGCCTGGTAGTAAGTACATTTCGAAATTTAGCGCATCGGCGGCTCACCTAATACGTGATAAACCATCGCTCCATTTCGAGAAGTAAGCCTGACTCCATACATCAATTTGCCATTCGCATTGCACCTGCCGACATTACCACGTGTGGCTACGGTACGCCGTAAATGTCACATGAAAAAAATAGGTTGTCATGCCTTGTGATTGACATTAGCAATCCCTTTTCACGGTTTGGTGCTGTGGTTAATCTGCATGTGCGTCATTGTGGATCACGGGGGTCAACGAGTGAATAGACTAACCTACTTCGCGTACGGTCTGTTTTCGTGCGTCGACAGGCCAGCGTGCATGTCCAGGCCAAGTGGTACACTTGCAAGCACGCATGTGTGTGGGTGTGCGCACATACCACGATGTAGGCGCATTCGCGATGTCATTGGTTGATGCGGTATGTGGCCACCAAACGAGCTGACGCAACATCGTACATATTTGAGGTTGAATACGGTCTGAGTGCACTGCCAATAATCTTCGGATGGGGGAAACAAATCTTGCAGCGGAGGTGCGTTTGAATTGCGGATCAAGTTAACTCGGATTCTGACCTCCGAACATCCTTGAACGTCGGTGTGCGTGCGAAGTCTGCACTGGATGCGGTCAATTCACAGTTCTTGTTCACCTTGCTCATTTGGACACGTAAGGGCATTTGGTTTAAGATATTCAGCAAGGGATTCAGGTTCCCGCAGGGGTGCGTGGTCCATGTTGTTGGTCGATCTGGCACGTACTACTCCAGGTCGACTTACAAACTTATGGCCCAGGAGTTGGTGAAACGGTAGCAGCACATTTGACCTCGTACTAAATGCTGGTTTTTACGGCTGGCTGGGTTTTATACCTGTTGGAAAGCTTATCTGGGGTGGTATCATGCAGTTGATCCTATCAGTGAAGACGGTAGTGGTGATGTTTCGAGAGCTACGACGCACCTTAAGTAAATACTGGTCGGAACTGACACGATGTATTCCCAGAGACGCCAAAGTACCTGACATGGTCTATTCATAATTCGTATATGTGACTTCCTTTGGCAGGAGAAGGTAGTATGAAGGGGTGAAAAAGTGGTAGTGTGGTTGGTGAAGTTCATAAGTAAATGTTATGCTCTTGACAGGTATGCATTGTACCGTATCTCCAGCAGCTGTTGATGAATCCGCTTGCGATAAAGCTTATCGGCAACTTACCTGCGTTCCACGGCGCCTTTTGAACCCATTGACAGGCCCTGATCGTTGATGGTCAAGGTGCGTTCGACTGATCGGAAGTAGTTTAGTACAGAAATGCACTACAACAGAAGAAACAATAGGTTTTAGCAAATGTGTGTGTGTGTGTAATAATTCACTTTTATCACTTTCCATTTTGTGCGTAACGTGAAAACGAACCAGTTGTGGACAGCACTAACCGTGCGCATCACATCTCTTAGTTTCAGGTGTCTGAGATGTAGGAAAGACAGATATGCTCCCTGCACACTTGATGGGTCGTCTTTTGCATTGGCCGCATCATCCAAACCCAGCATTTGCATCGCCTGAGTGAAATCGTACTCGTTTTGTCGTTTTCCCCTTTCTTCCGAATCCATCGTCCTAGTGCATATGGAGAAAGCGCGGGTGGATACCATTTGTAGATGAGTAGGTCACATTGCACGCACTAACAAGAACACTCGACTAGTTCACGTAAACGTATTTCGGCCTAGAAAGCGTCTTAGTTAGCCGCCTCAAGTTAGGAGAGTGGGAATTCTAACTGACCGGTTTAATAAAACACAAAACTGCGGCTGAATAGTATCCATACCCAAGCAGAAACATAGGTTCGAAGGGTTCCGGCTGCTTGCTCCACCAACATCAAAAATGACACGTGCCAGCTTTTTTGCTCCGCCGCTGAATAAATGACTTAAATGTGCCTATGGTTTGATGTACGTCTCTGCTGCCTTCAAGCAAGCAGCTTCTCAGTCACACGTGCAAATTCATGAGCAGCAACAAAGTAGCTATGGAAATGTGGGACTAAAATTTATCCACACTCGAAATCGAACGAATCTGCATAGGAGCAACTCACTTGCCGTAAAAATCGGAGCTGCTGTAAATTTTTTTGAAAACTTCAGCGGTACTTTGGCCTTGACGATGAGAGACGACAGATGCGGAGTGTACCATTGGAGGGTGTTGCACTAGCATGGCGTGGTGACGAAGAGAATCCTGGACTTTCTGGGGAGGATTGGTGCGAAAAGGGTCACAATTAATGGTGTTCGTGAATTTTAGCTACCGCAATCCGGCTGTGTGTCAATACTTAATGGTCCGGTGTGACTCATCAAGAAATATTGAGTGTATATAGTATAGTTTGTAGAACATGTAGAATGCAGCAATAACTTCGGTGAACTGCGACCAACTCCTGCGGCCAAAAGTTTTCAGAAAAAAGTGAAAAATAGCCGATCGGTGGCCGGTTGCTTCTCACGACTAAAAGTCGAACAACAGTATTACGTTCAAATACTACGAATTACGATGTTTAGGAGGCAACCATAAGAAACCCTGGTTCAAATATTTACCGGCAAATAATCTGGGGTAAATTTTCGGCTGCTACCTGCATTGCTTACATGCCCATTCTATTTGTTTCTGTAGCAACCAGCTTAAACATAAATGATATGTTGTTTAACTATTGCCTTGCAATATATTTGTCAATATAATTTAGTTTGATCAGTCCTGATAAGTACGGTGAATAGTGGGGACAACTTGCGCAGTGAAAGGCGCCACTCGTATAGACTAATTCCACGAGTATGACGGAAAAGGATACAGAAACATCAACAATAGCTCACCTCAGGTGACTTAATCCTCAGGAAATTGGCTGCAGCAGTTAGTAAATCATCTGTAACCGTCTTATTTCGCAATTCCATGATCAGTTTGACCAAATATTCATTACGTTTGGGTCGAATTTTTATGTAGGGCAACCAGTTGCTGGGTTTAAGGACAGCGCGTGACCAGCTATCAAGACCCCAACGTTCCATTGAGGACTGTAAGTAAATGAGTGAACGCAGGTTAAGCAGTCGAAATTAGTCGCAATTAGTTACTAAAGCCAGGACAAGTAACTGACCTTGGAAGCATCGTATGGCTTGAAGGTCAGCATTTCTTCCTGTTTGTTGAAGATCTGCCGAAATTTTCGGTTGATAACAGAGAATAGCTCCATCTCATCGGCTGATGATCGAATAGCCTGAACGTTCTAAAAGCGGAGAGACAGGCGTGCATAAGTAAGTTAAGGATGGCACTTGGCACACACTTCGATGAAAATCACAGATTGCAGAGTAGAAACCATGAGTAATCCCACGTTAAAAGAAGAGTTAACACGAGGAAATAATCACACAAGATCGAACTACAACAGTGGCATACGTCGTTCTTTATGAACGTCATCTTAGAATCCAATTTCCTTTGATCCCGTTTTCTCGGACACAGGTGATTGCTTTTTGTTGCTGATGCTTCTCATTCGTCCGTGTCATTAAGTTTTCTGTGTTGCTGCTTGGCTCCGATGCGTTTTAGTGTTAGGAGAAGCTCTATTTGACATGTAGTTTGTGCACGAACTTAGTTGCCGTTTTTCCTTCTTCCTATTATTTACCTGTTGGCAGTTGTTTAGTCGATCCGTTTCTGTAATCTGATTGGGAAACGCACATTGTTGGTAATGGACGATCACCTTACGTGTCAGCTACAGTAGCAACATTTTCAAGCATATAATTGACTGTTTGTTACTTCCATAATATTTTAGATTGGTTATGTTAAGGGCATGTTTATTTGGCATGCATTTTTGTAATAGTTCTTAATTTTCGGGTTTGCATTTCTTCCTTTCGTCTGGTTCGTAACCCATGTCTAACCACACCATTCCGTTATTCTGATTAGTCAGCGCTTGTCGTTGTGATTGGATGTTCCCTTTACGGTTCGGATCATATAATATCATTTACAAGGAGATGCCTGATTCGTTCTTCATTTCACAACTGCTTTTCGCTTGTCGCATTTAGCGTTTCTCCTGTTTAGTTAGCTCAAATATATTTTAGTAGTTTCTCTTCAAAACCGAGTCAAACTATATAAACAGGTGTGAAATAAGGCATGCAAGTCTTACCCGTCTCATCCATGGAGTTCTTCTTAAGGTCGAGAGAAAGCGTAGGTGGCGACACAATAGTTAGTAGCTTTGCTTTTACTTCTAGTCATGCCCTATATAAGCGAAGCGGTGATCTCTCACGTATGCAATTCTGTCCCCGCTCTTCTTTCTTGTTCCCTTGTTATGGTGGGATGCAAGGATTTGGGGCCGATACAACGGTAGTATTGCCGTTTACGGCCTTATTTTTGGTTCTGCTAAAGCTGTCACAGCTGAAAGGTCAGCTTATTTTCGCAATATTTCCTGCTAGACGTTTATGGTTCCCGGACCAGGACGGATGGAACAGGGTCCGCAGAGATTCAACAAATAATGAACAATGTACAATGAACAATGATTTGTCACGGAATAAAAGCAAGTGCTTGCTAAGTCCCGTAGGATGGTTAGGGTGAGTACGGTGAAACCGAAATATATGTGAGCCATCTACCGAGCGTCTAACAAAGTGAATGCTTTGAGAAACAACGTCAGTGTAAAATTAAAAAATGTCAAATGTAAGCGTGCAGTAATACACGGGGTGCAGTGGTCGTTGCTGTAGAGCGTGAGCAAAGTAAAATATGATCGCTCAATTGTGTGCCGTCTTCTTGTATGCATGTAACACATACATCCTGTAGAAAGGCATCATTGACGTAATCCACAATAGGGTAGTTTAGGTAAGAGTGTTGGGAGCTGAGAGCAACATCCAATCGCTTTTTTGAAAATATCCAAAGTTGGGGAGGATACAACTAAGTCCGGGAGTGCGTCCCAGATTTGGCAAACCCGAAGGGAAAAGTAATTACGTCGACACTCTAGACGAATAGATTGTTCCTTCGATTTTAAGCAGTTACCCTGAGCTGTATGTTGTGGCTTGCCGAACAACCTCCTCGTGGTGCCAGCTGGGTGGTTCGGGTTTTTCCCGTTCTAGCGAATGGTTCGGCGGCAGTGTTCCAGGACGTGGTGGGTTTTCGCCTGGCAAGCGTTCTCCCTATAAAAAGCCACATATGTCCGTTTAACAACACTGCGACGTGGCGGATGTGACTCGCCACTAAATAAAGTCACTGCCCCTTGCCCCTCCCTGAGAGGCATTGTACTTTAAGGGTGAGTTGGGCCCCTGGTCCTTCACGGACGGAAAGGCGTATGAACCATCTACTTGGTCACCGGCTCCCAACGGGTTGCGACGCCCTCACATCGCCCTGCTGCCTTGTAGGTTAGATCTTTGATCAAAGGCTCGGGGTAGGGCCCCCTAAGACAACCCTCTACTTCGGCCTGGGCAACCGGGTAGTATCACGCCCACTGACGAATCATGGACTACACCGCTCACTACTACTACTACTGCTATGCCGCTCTTCTGTCTTAACTCAACCGCTCAACGTCCACTCACAGACCACCCCACCTCCCGTCCTTCACCTACATGTACTCTTGTGTCTTCTACGGTCACCGTCACAAACGACCCACGTCTCGCAGCTGATGGAAGTAACAGCCAAACTCCCGGTTCTCAATGTCCTGCGATCGCAACCGCCTCTCACTCCACCGAAGCTCCAGCTCTTCTCCGACCTGGTTCTCCATTCATCCTCGCAGCGTTTAATGTTCGAACTTTGATGCAGATCGGACGACAAGCATGTCTGGCCCGTACTCTTGAAACGCTATCGGTAGACATCTGTTGTCTTTCAGAGACCAGATTACAAGACTCTAGCGCCGTCATCAGAATGGCCTCTCCGGTAAACTCTGACGCCAAATACTACTTGCGGCTTTCCGGAGACCCAGAATCTGCCGCCACTGGTCAAGCTGGTGTTGGGGTTGTATTAAGTGCCAGGGCTGAATCAGCTCTGCTTGACTGGATCCCAGTCAACAGCCGACTATGTGCAGTCAGACTAAGAGGTTCATGTAACGTAAGCAGGCGTCGAGATGTTAAGCGTGCCTTATTTGTCGTCTCCGCCTACGCCCCTACAGACTGCAGCCCGGATGCAGTTAAAGATAGCTTCTACCAACAACTACATGAACTTCTGCGTTCCTCCAAACGGACGGATATAGTCATTCTTGCCGGGGACTTTAACGCACGGGTTGGCCGCCTTCTACCAAGCGAGCACCACATTGGGGGTAGTTTTGGTCTCGGTGGCAGTCGATCAGACAATGGAGACAGACTACTTGCTCTTTGCTCTGATCATCGCTTGTTTCTTTCGAGCACTAGTTTTCGACACTCGAGGAGACAGACTGCTACCTGGCGCCCGCCCTCACAAACGCAAGAGTGCTCCCAGCTTGACCACATAGCAATCAGCTACAGATGGCGCGGAAGCGTAATGGACTGCCGATCGTACTGGTCAACTTTTCTAGACTCTGATCACGCATTGGTTCGTGCTAAGATTTGCATGCGTTTCAGAGGATCACCTAAGCGCGCCCACTACCGACCGGACGTCGCAAATCTACAAAACGCTGCGGTTTTAACCAGGTACCAAGCCTCACTGTCAACTTTGCTTGGCCCAACTATTGACGGTGATCTCGATTCGCAGTGGGCGCATATCAAAGATGCGTTAGTTTCCGCCAGTATCGACACTTGTGGAGTTACCCGTCACCCACCGAAACATTGGATTTCCGCCGACTCCTTGTCGCTGATGGACAAACGCCGCTTGATCCCATCGGATTCGAGACACGTTGAAGAACGCCAATACCTTGGTCGAGAGTTGTGCAGGAGTCTGCAAATGGACCGCGAAGCTTGGTGGTGTGAACGTGCTAGGGAGATGGAGCTTGCTAGTCTCTGTGGTAATACCAGGAAACTCTTCCATCTCCTTCGAGTCACCGAAGGTGTTCGATCTGGTATAAGTGAAACAATATGCGAAGAGGATGGCACCTTAATCACCAATCTTCAACGACGGTTGGAGCGATGGGCCGAACATTTTGGCTCGCAGTTTTGTTGGTCCCCAGCTCCATCTGCTACCACTGGCGCTCGCGCTGGGGCCGAGTGGTCTACCCCAACAGACCCTCCCTCTTCCCAGGAAATCGAGCAGGAGCTCCGGCACCTGAAGCGTTATAAAGCTCCCGGCCCTGATGGTCTTCACCCAGCTCTATTTAAAGATGGTGGCGCATCGCTGGTCCGAGAACTCACCGTTTTGTTCTCGAAAATTTGGTCGAAAGAGAAGGTTCCATCATCTTGGGGTGAATCGATCGTCGTCCCCATCTTCAAAAAGGGCCTGCGCACAATCTGCTCCAACTACAGAGGAATAAGTTTAGTCCCCGTCGTTTGCAAGCTGCTGGTGTCCATCATACTTCGCAGGCTATCCCCAACACGCGAATCGTTGCAGCGAGAAGAACAAGCTGGGTTTCGCCCTGGTCGCGGCTGCATCGGTCAAATCTTCACACTTCGCCAGATCCTCGAGCTCCGCCATGTGTATCAGAGGCCAACGATTGCTGTGTTCCTGGATATCCGTGCAACCTTCGATTCTGTCGATCGTACAGTACTGTGGCAGTGCCTTCTGAGGAACGGTGTCCCCGAGAAGTTCAACGTCATACTGCGCGCTCTATACAGTCTGACCTCGGGCAGCGTTAGGTCTTATGGCATGCTTTCGCCTACCTTTGTGGTCTCCAGTGGAGTTCGACAAGGATGCCCTATCTCTCCGTTCCTATTCAACTTTGCCATTGAGGATGTCCTGAAGAACGCTCTGAGCGATTCGTTGAACGCTGGCGTTGAGCTCCTCCAGGTAGTCGAGTTGTTGATTTGGATTATGCTGATGATATCGTCTTGCTGGGTGACGATCCACAGGTCGTCCAACTTGCATTAAACCGCTTGACGATTGAAGCATCAAAGTATGGTATGTGCTTTTCGCCATCCAAATGCAAGGCTCTCTTCCAAGACTGGCAGGTGCCTCTGCCTGCACTCACGCTTGCTGGTGAGACACTGGAGGTTGTGGAGAGCTTTGTCTACTTGGGAAGTTGCATCACTGCTGGCGGGGCTGTTGGAGACGAGATTTCGATGCGCATCTCGAAAGCACGCCTCGCTTTTTCTAGGCTGAGGCATTTGTGGCGTCGCCACGACATTCGTCTCTCCATCAAAGGGCGGGTCTATTGTGCAACTGTTCGTGCTGTACTGTTGTACGGATGCGAGACCTGGC